CATCTTCTACAGAGCGTTTCTTCCGATAGGCAAACTGTAATGAATCAAATGTAGGGAGAAGGCGTGAAACCATGTAGTCCTTTACTAATCTCTCAAAACACTTCATCATAATGAAAATGTGTGCAACTGGATGGTAATAATAAAGGCATGTCATTTTAGTTTTGGGGGGCACTGGTACAATGATTGCAGTCTTAAAACATGATGAAATCATGGCCTGATGCTACGAGAAATTGAAGATGTCTGGGAGAACATTGGCTAGCTGGTCAGCACACTCCTTAAGTACTCAGCCAGGAATATTATCAGGACCCGCAGATTTCCAAGTGTTGATTTTCCGCAGGACCTTCTGAACCGCAGTTGTATCAAACCTGAGCATCTGCTCATCAGTAAGGGGAACAGTCTTCCTTGCTGAAACGTTGTTTGTGGCCTCAAAGTGTCCCAAAAACATATTTAGCTTGTTTAGTCTGTGTCATCCTTACATGTCAGGGAAGCTACCTTATAATCAGCAATTACCTGAATACCTTGTCACATACGTCTCAGGTCCATAGGATCTTGAAAGAAATTCTGCACTTTCTGACGATAGGCCCACTTTGCTGATTTTATAGCATGCCTCAACTCAGCTCTTGCTATTCTAAGTGCTGCTGCATCACCTGATTTGAAAGCTGTGTTTCTCACCTTCAACACTGTTCAGACCTTCTGTGATATCCAAGGTTTCTCATTTGCTCACATGATAATAGACTTAAGAACATTGACATCCTCCATATATTTTTGGATATAAGCAGACACAGTAGAAGCATACTCGTTCACATCAATATGTTGTCCATTTGTTGCAGTCTCTTTAAATATGTTCCAATTTGTGCACCCAAACCAGTCTTGTTTTTCTTGCAATTGTCATGAGTGGACATGTAGGTAGTGATAACATCTACTCAGCTCTCTTTCTTCTATGTGGGTAACTAGGATGAATTAAGCTTGAACTAGAATACCGATATAACTGAGAAACAGATGCATATAGTGGTATCCATATTGCTTACTGAACTCTGTGGATATTAGATTCCCTAGATGAATTAATAATTTATTATATTTTCCAATAATTTCTAAAGAGCAGGTGACAACATTCAAACTAGCACTTCATTCTCAACATACAGGATTATATTGATTTTTCTTATACATGTAATGAAGATTTTTGTCAAGTATTTCTCTCATTCATTAAATATTGAGGCATAGTAATGCTAGTACAAAAAAGGGCAAGTAATCATGCTTGTTCTTAGAATCACATTTTTGGTACTTTCATTTGATAGAGCCCTCTTCATTAATGCTATCACTCGTCTCTAAGAGCTCTAGTTTGCAAAAAGATGCTAAAATATAAAACATGACCATGAATCCTAATATAAGCTGAGAAATTTTATGTAATCTTCCCACAGAAAGTTTAACTATCTTGTAAACAATATGTTTTTCTAAATGAATGTCTCAAGCTAAATGATTTCATTGTTAATTATAAAGCTATATTCTTTGACCAGAACTCTAAAGCAAAGTTCAAATTATCCCAATTAGAAATAAAGGAAAGCTGTGTATATTTTTAATTCAATAGAATATGGTCTTAAATATAAGTATGTACAATGTCTATATGAGGCACTTTGATAATTTTTTTCATTAATTCAGAGTTTCTCCTATTATAGGTTAAAATATGTTATAGAAGATTTCTATACTTTCACTCAGTCAGCAATGTGCCTCACATTATTCTGAATCACCCTTTGGGATCCCTCCTGTTTATATTTCATGAATATAAATTCAACTTAATGCAATAACATTTATTAGTCTGAAGTAAATATAGTTTATAAATTTGAGACATTAATAGAACAGAACAGAACAGAACAGAACAGAATAGAATAGAACTCCAAGATCCCTCTCACAGGGAGGTACCAACTATACCTGTGCATTTGGTTTTTCTTGCCTAAATGTAGAACCTTACTTTTTTCACCATTGAATTTCATTTTGTTAGATAGCACCCAATGTTCAAATCTGTCAAGATCCTTCAGTATCTTAAGCCTATCTTCTGGAGTGTTGGCTATTCCTCCAGCCTGATGTCATCGGCAAATTTGATCAGTTCCCCATCTATTCCCTCATCCAAATCGTTGACGAAGATGCCTTGGGGCACCCCCACTGCATACTTCTCTCCATGTAGATGCAGTTCCATTGAGGACTACATGCTGAGTGTGGTTGATCAGCCAGTTATGAATCCATCTGGTGGTGATGCTGTCTAATCCACATTTTTCTATCTTATCAAGTAGTAGGTTGTGGTCTACTTTATCAAATGCTTACTGAAATCCAAATAAATTATATGTGGTCCTATGGTCCATTAATTTTGTCAATTTATCAAATAATGCAATAAGATTTGTCTGGCATGATCTGTTTTTGACAGTCCCAGTTTATTTTTTACTTTTGTTGTAACCTTAGTTCATTTTGAGGCTTAGCTTTCCCCTTACTTCATCTTTACAGGCTCAGGCTAATTGCTGATATCCTTAGTTAGCTGCCCCTCTTTCCACTTTTTATACTTGTCCTTTTTTCTTTCAGTTTATCAGAGAGTTCTTTATGCAGCCATGCTGGTTTCTTTTGAGAGCTGTTATTTTTCTTCTTCATTAGTATTGTGCTAGACTGGGCTTTTATAATCTCACTTTTCAAAGTTTCCCAAGCTTCTTGAGTTGTTTCTTCCTTGAGGATTCTCCTCCATAGAGTCTTTCCCAAGCTCTGTCTAAGTTTATTTAAACTAGCTCTAGTTTGACCATGTTCTATTGCTTGTGCTTGCATGATGTTGAATTCCAATATTGCATGATCACCCTTCCCCCTAAGGTTCCTGTAGCTTAAATACTTTCTATCATTTCATCTCTGTTAGTGAGAATTAAGTCCAATATGGCTGATCCCGTAGTTCCCTTCTCTACTTTTTGGGAGATGAAGTTGTCTACTAGGTTTGTCAGGAATCTATTTGATCTTCTACTTGATGCAGAGTTTGTCTCCCAGTTGATGTCAGAGTAGTTAAAGTTCCCCATTACTATTGTGATGTGCTTCCTAGTTAACTAACTATGAACGTTCATCTATTCCCTTGGTTTAGATGGGTGGCCTATAGTATACCCCTATGAGAATGTCATTTTTTCTCCTTTTATATTGACCCAAATGCATTCAAGATAGTTTTCATCATTGTTGTGCTCTATTTCTGTAGAGATGTAGTCATTTCTTTTATATAGTACAACTCTACCTACTCTTTTGTTTGGTCTGTTTCTTTTAAATAATTTAAATCCCTCTAGCTGTATATTCCATTTGTGTGTTTCATCCCACCAAGTTTCCATAATGGCAACAATCTATATAGTCCTACTCTCAGAATAAGAATTGCCACTAACTCCTGAAAATTCATTTCTATTTCATTTGTGATTCATTTGTGTTTTCTTTCTGTAAAAAGAGTATAACAGAGGTAGGAAAGAATACACGTAATTCTTCCTACGCAGTAGATTACTATATCTCATTAGCATTCAGCAATTTTGTATTGGCAAAACATTAGCAACTCAGATCATAAGTACATGGAGAGTTCAAGCAGGCTCCACAAGTCCTCACACTTGTCAAGGATGACGTTACGTCAATTTTTGTATCTTGAATATTTATTTGTGGCCATAGCAGTATAGAAGCAATAGAACACTGAACAGTTCAGTACCATAAATTATTTTATAAGAGCTTACAGACTGAGACTTGCATTGAAAGACTGTGGTCTTCATAAAACCATAACCATAAATCCCTGTCATATATTTTCCCAAACTGAAGAGTAAAATGGAAATGAGTTTAATTTTGCAAACATCCTAATGCAAAGGCATGAAAAACAACTTGACTGAATAATGCAACTTCTAAAAATGCAAACCATGATAGAATCAAAACAAAGATTTTATTTGCATAAATATGATACATGTTTAAAAAAGCATAAGCAAATCAAATGGATTATCATACAAGCAGAGCATTTCAAACTTATTTTTAAAAGTAATGTATAAGCTATCATTTCTTGAAGCTTCTTGGGGTCAACAGGTTGCATAAAAGTCAGAATACCATAGTGAAGAGGTAGAGAAACCTGCTCCCATGACTAAAGAAATAGCAGAGATGTTAATTAAATTCTTCTTTGGATTAAATTCTGAGCTGTAAAAAGTCATGATACTTTATATCTAGGACAAGTATTTACAAGCTATTGAAATGTTCAAGCTCAGAAAGTATTATGTGTTACAGCAAGAAAAACATGGAGGAGCAGACAGATGGGTTGTGACTTGACATGGTACAATCATTCAACACAACACATAAGCATATTGTAACTGAGAATAGTTAATGATATAAAATAAGATATTTAGGTTTAATCAGTTTTTCCTAAGAGGTGCCAGAGGAACGTTTACATGGTTACATGGTTACTATGAGTATTTTTATGTGTTTTTATGTTTTGTTGTACTGTAGGCTGCCTAGAATTCGAAGGTTGAGATTGGCAGCTATATAAACTCTATAAATGATTAAATGTCATTCAAAAGATAATGATGATTCATTCAAATTTGTGAAAATGATAATATTATTAATACTTAAAGTTCTTGTTTATCTGAATTCTTACAAAAAATATTAAACCCAACTATTCCATGAGACAGAGCTTGAGTAATCACATCCTGTTATCTCACAAGCTAACCTTCTCTGACCTGGCAAACCAAATTAAATTTATTAAGGTACATACTTGCAAAATTGAAAATTGTATTCATATTACAAAGCCCACATTTCCAAAAGAAAACTCAGTAACTAAGAAAGTATTCATATCGTAAATATGAAAAGATTTATTAAGGTCAGAACAGAAATAAAGTGACAGCAGTATTGGTGAGTTATAATGAAAGGCACTATGATAATATGAATTTATTTTGTGATAAAATCACAATTTTCTTTATCTGTCACATACATCATTGCTACTTCAAAATAATTCATGTAAAAAAAAAGGCTCTTACCTGCTATTGAACTTTTCTGGATGTTTTTCTCGCATAATGTGAAATCTGTGAGCAATTGAAGCATCCTAAAAGAAATTTTACAAATAAAATATTATTGTGGATTCATTGCAAAATACAAAATATTTTTTAACAAAGCTATAAAGTAAATATGGAAAATATTCCCTTGTTGTTATTTATTATTTTGAGATTCTGTACGTTGTTTTTATATTGTGATTTTATTTGATTGTTGTATGCCACCATGAGTCACTTCTAGTGAGATGGGTATATATAAATATGATAAATAGACAAATATTTTTTTCAATGTAGCTCTTAAAATAAATATTGGTAAATTATTGTACAATGTCATTAAAATACAATATGTAATATTTAAATATTTAAAAAACCACAACTGGCCCCAAAATCTCATTCGTTGAGTGAAGCAGTTATTAAGTGAGATACACAGGACCACTTTGCTCAATGACCATAATCCTGGCTACCCAACTGCAATCATAGTGGAGTGCTAAGGAGAGAGTCGGGGCTTCCCACTACACCTGGGAGTCCTGGGGTCTTTTCCCACCAAGGAGAATAACTGCAACATCAAAGGCATTCACTAGCATTTTTTGCCAGATTAGAATGCTGACCTTTGCTGGTGTTTTCCCCTCCCCTTCAGAGTTTTCCAAATCTTTTTCTCTTTTTCCTCCCTCTTTTCTAATTATATTATGTTCCAATCTTTCATTGTCTTTAAAGATTTTTTTTTTCAGTTGAACAGTTGAAAGGGCTTTTGTTTATCCCCCTTTAAATTATTTTGATGTGTTTGATATGATTTGATACGATTTACATCCTGTATTTCCTCCACAACTCAATGCAGCACCCAAGAAGATCTCATTTCATTTTATCCCTAAAGCTGAAACCCTGAAAGAGGCACTGGCCTGACTGGTTCAAAGTAAAAATCACTCATGTTTAGCATGTTTACATGCTAAGAATCATCTTGAACTAGGTATTTTCAGTATTCATTCAATAATTTAACTACTACAAAATATAAACCTTCTATTTATATGTGTTCTGTTTCTTGCCCTTCTAAATAGTATTTTCTTTTGTACCTATGACATGAATGATTATGAACCTGAGGAAGACAGGGATAGTCAGATTACATTGACATTGCATTAGGCATGCTTACTGAATAGAAATGTTTTGAGTGAGTTCTTTCTTTAAAAAGAACTGTATAAAACCACAACATAAAAACACAGCAATACTGATTTCTATGAGTATGCTTCAACTCATAATGAAATACCTTTGCACTATGTTTCAATCTGCTCTTATAAAAAGCAAGAAGTGTGTGTGTGTGTGTGTGTGTGTGTGTGTGTGCTTTCACTGAATTTTTATGTTGCTCCCTTTTTCTGATTCATATTCCAGGATCAAGAACAAGTTTAAATGGGTTACCCACAAATCAAAGGTAATACCCACATAGTATAGTAATCCCTGAGTTATGAGTGTTCCCTTAGTGAAGGTTCAAAGTTACGTGATAAGCGCCCCTTAGTGTTTACGAAGAAGTCCTGAAATTACAAATGTTGCCATACCACAGCAGTCATTCATCTTTATGAACGACCGCAGTGGCACTGCAACATTCACCCTGGCTATTCCCTCCCTCCCCTCTGCCCTGGGTCTCCCTAGGCATTAGGCCTATAGATACTCACTTTGCAAAAATCAAGAGATCCTTCACTTTCTTGGCTGCTCCAGGCCTTCAGTGCATTTACAGAGAATGAAGGCCTAAAGTAACAAAGATCACATGAGATAAGTGACATGAGATCCCACACTATTGATCTCATGTGATCTCACAATAGTTTAGGCCTCTGTTCTCTGCACCAGAAAATGGAATGGAAGCCGGGGGAAGGCTTCTGCGTGCCTCTGGAGGCCTGATCTGGGTGTTGGAGACCTTTTCCGGGTCACTGCCACCTGGAAAGGAAGCCAAGGACAGCGGTTACATGCTTCCAGAGGCCCATTCTAGGCCTTGGAGGCCTCCTCCAGGCCTCCGAGGCACAGAATGAAGGCCTTGGGCAGTAGCCACATGCTTCAAGAGGCCCATTTTGGGCCTCAGAGGCCTTTGTCTGCTCTTGCTGGGAGCAGAGAAAGAAACAGAGAGGCTGGAGAGGAGATATATCTTTACAAGGTAAGTGACCCAGCGTGGCAGGATTGGGTGGGGGAGAAATTGTGGGGATCCCAGGGGAGGGACCATGAGGTATCTCAGTGGGATGGGACCTGGGTGGTCTGAAGCCAGTGGCCTGTTCTATCACTTGGCCCCCATGGCCTTTCCCATCCTAAGATACCTCATGTTCACTTAATGAGCCATGCATTCGCCCATGCATTAAGTTAATAAATGTGTGGGTAAAAGCTGGGAGTGAATCATATTCAATGTATGAGATTCACTCCTACGAATCCTCAAGTTATGAATGCAATGGGCAGGCTCTTATTGCATTCGTAACTCGAGGACTACCTTTATGGTTAATTTCACTTTTTAAAAAGGGATACAGGAAAAAGAAGACAAGAAAGCTGTTAATATTTTTTTAATTTATATATACATAAATTATATAAATATCATCCTCTATAAGGATGATAATTGTCCACTTCTTTGAAATTAATAATGTTTCATTTGGAAATAGTTTTATTAAATTCTTACTTGCTTTTTTTGTAATTTATGATCCTTTGATGTTGGTAAATTGTTTTTCAGTTAGAATCACAATTCAAAAGAATTCCGGGGAAGTCTTTGATTTTAATCATTCCACCCTTGTAAACACTTAAAACATGGCTGGAAGAAAACCAAATATTATGTGGAAGTGGTTTCTCATTTATGTTTAACACTAGCAAATGTTAATTGTCGATATGAAGAAAAGTAATTTAGGTGATTCATTTCTAAAGTGTTGATTTGGTTATTGTATTTGTCAAAAGAAAGCGGCCACAATTTATGGCTGATACATAAGTGGACAGGTGAAACAAATACTGTACTTAAGCTGTGAAAATATCTGTCCTTTGTAAAAAGAAGTAGCATCTCAAAATATGATTTGCATGTATCCTGCTAGTGAAATATTTTTATATCTGTTTTGACTAAATAACTAAGTACTTCCCAATGACAATTTAATATTCAAATGAGAAATAATTGTTTGTTATCTTTTCATAGTGGAAAATTCCCAAATAAAAATAGTTGAGCAAGCAGATTCTATTATGTTATGGAAAAGCATTAAGCCAGCTGTTACTTTTTAAATATATACAAACATAAACATCACCTGAATTTTCAAAGTAATATAAAATATAATATAAAATAATATAATATAATTTTAATACATCAACAATAAACTATAACTTCAGTTACATTATAACCATTTTATTTTTTCTAATTGTCTGGCATGATATAATTGTTAGTGAAAGATTGTCAAATAATATTAATAAAGATTACAGTTTAAATTATTACAAAGTATTGTGCTATAAACACAAATAATGTTAATAACAATGATAACTTGGATCAGGATATCTATAAATAGTGGTTAAAATAGAATAATGATGGCCACAGTGGTTTATTCATATGTGCACTCCTTTTTTATTTGCAAAATATATATTCAAAGAAAAATTATGGGCAACTCTCAAGAAAATGGGACGACATTCAGGTGATGAACATCTTGACTTTTTTTTTACAGATTATTGTCAATTTACAACTGTTCATTTAACAATGGTTCAAAGTTATGACAGCTTTGTAAAAAGTGACTTATAAATCTATCTTCAAAGTTACAACTGTTGTACTACCCCTGTGATCACATGATTGCAATATGGGCACTTTGCAATCAACTTGCATCTACGATGGTTGCACCATCATGCAATCATGTGATTGCAGCTTGCAAACTTTCTAACTAGCTTCTGGAAACCAAAGTCATTGGGGAAGTCAGATTTGCTTAATAAGTACACGAGTCACTTAATAACCATGTTACTAATCATAGTAATTCACTTAGTGACTATGATAAAAATGATTATGAGAATGGGTCCAATCACATAATGACTCACTTAATGACCACATAGGTTAGTGCCAAAATTCCAGTCCCAGTGGTTGTAAATCGAGGACTACTCATACTCTGCAGACACTGTTCATGGGGATACTTTTAATATGTTATTTAACTTTGATAAATGTAGCCTATAATTACATAGTGTCTGGAGAATAGATGTCAAATTCACACCTCAACACTATTTTCATTATCTATTAGGAACAAGGAACCAGAATATCCCTGGGAGCTGATCAGATAAGTATGTTTATTGCTATTATAAGAAACTTGCCATACTAACTACACTCATTAGAAACAACCAGATAAGTACTCCAAGGTTTAGGGGAGGTCTTTTTTCTGGCTCTTCCTCCCTCCCAGAGATTCCTGCCTAGCCAGTTTTTTTCAACACCATCCCTCATTTCAGCTCAGATGATTCTACCACATCACAACTGAAAGAAAACAATGGTTAGGATAATTTAAAATTCCAGTTGTTTTTCTCACAAGAACTCCAGTAGATAGTTCACAAATATTATCGGTGTTTAGAAAGGCTCCCAATTAAATGCATATATGCATTACTTTCAAACATGTCTTTGAATACAGTAGACAGAGTCTTCTGTGTTGGCTGCTGATATAATTTGGGCAATGTGTTACATAACACGAAGACGAAATTCTGCTGAAACTCCACATTAGTGAATCCAATACCTCTCTTTTAACCCTCTAATCTGAAATAGTAATCTTCAAAATTATCAACAGAAATTGATTTTAGGTAGATTTCATACATGGGAAGCTTATGGGTTGATATAATGGACTATGAGAGTAACCTTGAGAAACAGGAGAAAAAGCTGCAGCCCAGACAACAATCTGATAGTCAAAACCAGATATTTCAAATCTGATATTTCAAAACTAAAATTTTGAGAAAATGTTCCCAGAATTGACACCCTCCAGTTCTCTGGAATGTAAAGGTAAGGAGCAGGCAAGTGATTTTATATTGCAAGATTCTGTTACTATAGCTTACAGTAAAAATAATTTTAGTATTCTTGATTTTAGTTTCCTTTTCTGAACTG